CCAGGCGCCGCTAGATCTTCATTTCTAAATATCATTTTCCACCTAAAGGAACCAGGGCTCCATGGAAAAATGACTGATTTAGGGCTGGGACTGGGAAAGTACAAGATGAGCCTGGAATATCTTGCTGGATAATGCTCAAAGAATGACACGAACATGTCCAAAGGACACAGGAGTCAGCCAGCCTGACACTTATCTTACTGGCCAAAACTAGGACAATGCAAGCATCAAAACTATAACTATAACAATAACAACAAAAAAGAACTGTAACTCACTGAACAAAATAAGAATTCATGAATCCACACTAATATAAGTAACAGAGAGCGGAGAGCTCCTCCTTTCAGTAAAATGTAGAAGGAGTAATAGAAGAACCACCATTTGGCAACCACAACAGTAATTACTTGTTTCAGGAAAGACTCCTCAGTGGATGCTAAAGCTAGTGGGTAAAAGTTTGATGAGAGAAAGGTGATTTACGAAGTCTTAAAATATCCCCTAATAGAACCCTCCCTACACTGTTGGTGGAAAGGCAAGCTGGTGCAGCCACTCTGGAAAATAGTATGGAGGTTCCTCAAAAAGTTGAAAACAGAGCTACCCTATGACCCAGCAATTGCACTACTGGGTATTTACCCGAAAGATACAAATGTAGTAATCCAAAGGGGCAACTGCACCCCAACGTTCATAGCAGCAATGTCCACAATAGACAAACTATTGAAAGAGCCCAGATGTCCATCGACAGATGAATGGATAAAGAACATGAGTTATATATATACAATATATATACACCATGGAATATTATGCAGCCATCAAAAAAGGAAATCTTGCCATTTGCCACGATGTGGATGGAACTAGAGAGTATTATGCTAAGCAAAAGAAGTCAATCAGAGAATGACAATTATCATATGATCTCACTCCTATGTGGAAGTTAAGAAACAAAACAGAGAATCATAGGGGAAGAGAGGAAAAAATAAAACAAGACAAAACCAGAGAGGAAGACAAACCATAAGAGACTCTTAATCATAGGAAACAGAGGGTTGCTGGGGGGCTGGGGGGGAAATGGGGTAACTGGGTGATGTACATTAAGGAGGGCATGTGATATAATGAGCTCTGGGTATTATATAAGACTGATGAATCACTGATCTCTACCTCTGAAACCAGTAAAACATTGTATGTTAATTAACTGAATTTAAATAAAAAAATAAAAATAAATAACCCAATTAAAAAATGAACAAAGGGCTTGAAAGAAATTTCTCCAAAAATGATATACAAATACTTCTGAAACCAATAATACATTATATGCTAATTAATTTAATTTAAATAAAAAGTGTGTGTGTGTGTGTGTGTGTGTGTGTATATATATATATACACATATATATCTCCTAATACTTTTTAATTCCAAATGGGGAGATAGAACTTTACAGTGGAGACACCTGGCAAACACCACCTTAACTAAGAGATCAGAGTTAATACAACGTTAACATGTGCCTCCTGCTAGGATGTGCTAAGAAGTGCTCAGCTTCCTTCTGCGGTATTCCTGTGCATTCATTCTAACAACCTGAATCTAACTGTGCAAAACACACACCCAAACTGAAGAATATTCTACAACTGTGCCATCCAACAGAACTTTCTGCAATGCTGGAAGTGTTCTCTATATCTGCACTGCCCAATAGGGCAGCCACTGCCACATGGAACCACCGAAAAATAGATGAAGCACATACTGTTAAATGTTAAGACTTCGAATCATGAGATGCCTGGGTGGCTCAGTCAGTTAAGCATCTGACGTCAGCTCAGGTCATGATCTCAGGGTCCTGGGATAGAGCCCAGTATCAGGCTCCCCGCTTAGCAGGAGTCTGCTTGTCCCTCTCCCTCTGCCCCTCCCCCCCATTCATGCTCTCTTTCTCTCAAACAAATAAAAAATAAAAAAAAAAAAAAAAAAAACTAAGACTCAAGATGAAAGGTATATGGAGGGGCGCCTGGGTGGCTCGGTCAGTTAAGCATCTGCCTTTGGCTCAGGTCATGATCCCAGGGCCCTGGGATTGAGCCCCGTGTCAGGCTCCCTGCTCAGAGGGTAGTGTGTTTTTCCCTCTCCCTCTCCTGCTCCCCCCAGCTTGTGCTCCATCTCTCTCTCATATAAATAAAATCGTAAAAACAAAAAAAAGAAAGGTATATGGAAAGCTTTTATACAATTTTTGCAACTATCTATAATTCTGGTATTATGTCAAAGTAAACATACAAGGAGCACCTGGGTGGCTAAGTAAGTTAAGCATCTGACTTCTCAGGGCATGATCTCAGGGTCCTGGGATGGAGCCCTGTGTGGGACTCCTCGCTCAGCAGGGAGCCTGCTTAGTCCCTCTGCCCCTCATTCTGCTTATACTCACTCTCTCTCAAATAAAATCTTTAAAAAAAAAGAAAAAGTAAAACATACAAAAAGTCTTAAAAATCAGGATCTCATCATGTGTTCACACACAAAAATTATACTGTTAATATACATGAATAAGAACAGTAATAACCAAAATCTTGTGAAGTTCTAATCAAATATGACATACTGAACAGAGTATTTATATCCACTCTCTCCCCAAACTTTACTGACAGTAAGGAAATAAAAAAACATAGGGCTTGTTGATATGATGTGCTGAAAATGGTACTTTACCTCTGTGGTTTTCCTCCCAATATCCCATAACTACAGTCTAAGCATGAGAAAAACATCAGACAAATCCCAAGGACATCCAACAAAATCCCTGATTAGTCCTCCTCAAAACTGTCCAGGTCATCAAAACAAGGAAAGTCAGAAACTGTCATAGCCAAAAGGAGCCTAAGGAGACATGATACTTAAATGTAATACAGGATCCTGGAACAGAAAAAGAACATTAGGTAAAAACAAAGGAAATCTAAATAAGCTATGGAATTTACTTAATAGTTTACTTACTAATTATGGATCAATATTGGCTCATTAATTGTTACAAACATACCATACTAATATAAGACATTAACAACAGGTGAACCTGTACAGGGTATATGGGAACACTGCACTTCATTCTCAATTTTTCTATAAATCCAAAACTGCTCTAAAAAATAAAGTGTTTTTAAAAGTGTGACTGCAAACTATAAATGTTTTCAGATATAGAAGGCTTCAGAATTCATCTCCCATGTATTCTTTTTCATACATTCTCCCATGTATTCATCTCCCCTGTATTTCTAGAGATATACTCTAGCAAAACAGAATTAAACCAAGAAAGAAGACACAGGATGCACACAAGAGATCCATGGGGCGCCTGGGTGGCTCAGTCGGCTGAGCATCCAACTCATGATTTCAACTCAGGTTCTGATCTCAGGGTCTTGGGATCAAGCCCCGCATCAGGCTCTGCACTCACAGCACAGTCTGCTTGTCCCTCTTCCTCTGCTCCTCCCCCCACTCTCTCCCTCTCTAAAATAAATAAAAATCATAAAAAAAGAGAGAGAGATCTAATACAGGAAAACAAGCAAAGACCATCCCCTGGACGATGGTGAAGTCAAGTCCTAGACATCTGTGTATCTGACCTCAAGAGAAAGCAGCTCATAATGAAGCAAAAGTATCTGGAGGTGGGAGTAAGTGCTAAACAGAGGATATTAAGCAGTTTAAAAAAAGGCAATTACCAATTCCAGGAAAAATATAAGTTGTTAGAGAAAGGAAACGTAATCACTGTACACTGCAGCTTAGCTCTGAACAATATTTACACAGACAGTAAGAAATACTGAATACTGATTTAACTGGAAATGATAATCCATCTTGTTTTAAATCTAAGATATCACTGAATAGAAATCATACCATTACTTTACTATTACTTACTACTAAAAGGGGAAAGAAATGTTGCCAATTAAATAACACCATGGCGTAAAGATGTATACCAATTTCTCAGAGTTGTTAAAATGTAAAAGAATAGCTTCTCAAAATCAATTTAATATATTAATCACATTGAAAGGAGAAAGAAGTGTTTGCATTGGGAGCAAATGGTGTAAAAAAGCTAAACTGTGACCTTCCTTACACAGAAGGAAGTCTAATGTCTGAAACTGATGGGGGAGAAAAGAAAGAACAATATAAGTTTGTTACATAGAAACATGGAGAAAAATGCTAGAAGAAACCACTAAAAGAGCTGATAGTAAGGGATTCTAAGGTAGGGACACCAAGGTAGCGGGGAGGCGGAAAAGACTGCCGTTTTTCATTTGAGATTTGCCTATTTAAACCATTTGCATGTATTACCTTCATAAAAATAAATGTAAAAAATCAAAGCAACAACAGCAATAACAAAAATCAAAGCAACAATAATCTAAAGCTATCAGGAAGAAAATTCAACAGCTGAAATACTTGCAGATTTTTTTATGTACCATGACAAAGGATATCAAGAAAAACCTGAGAAAAAAGATATACAACCCCAAACCCAATGCAGTCTCAATGTTATACAAATCCAAATTTTTTTTTTTTTAAAGATTTTATTTATTTATTTGGCAGTGAGAGACACAGCGAGAGAGGGAACACAAGCAGGGGGAGTGGGAGAGGGAGAAGCAGGCTTCCCTCCGAGCAGGGAGCCCAACACGGGGCTCGATCCCAGGACCCTGGGATCATGACCTGAGCCGAAGGCAGACGCTTAACGACTGAGCCACCCAGGCGCCCCTACAAATCCAAATTTTAAGTGACATTATAGCAAAGTGAAAATATTCAATCAAACCTATTCTAAATCTGGTTCATTTTACCCATCCAGCCACACAGATGTTGATTTAAGATAGCTCAAAAGTTGACCTGCTAGAGGCAAAAAGGCGTGGGAGTGACACCACAGCTCTGAAAGCTGACTTCCTGCTTCAAGATAAGACCCAACTGACTCAATTAGGAGGATATATTATTTCCAGCTACAGCAAAGTTACATAACACAAAAATAAACTTGGAAAAAGTCATAATTGCCTGTAAGAGTATAACATCTAAAATTAAAATTTTAGCCCACCCTGCCATTAAGTTTCCATTATTTGTCACTTACATCTTGAAACATTTTGTTTTCTTGTTTCAGTCTTGCTTCTTTATCATCTGAGAGTTTGTAAGCATTCTCAAATGCTTCTTCTAAATTCTGCAGTCGAGATTTTAGTCGAATGATGGTATTGTCTTTTTCTTTATTACTTATTCTCATTTCCTCAATCCGTTCCTGCAAAATTTTGGAAGCATTGCTGGCTGCATTGAAGCGTTCTCTGAAATCACTCTACAAAATAAAAACAAAGATAATAAATTGTTTTTAATTAAAAAATATAGATGGTTCAAAAGCACTTAACAAATTGTGGACATTAAACTATAAAAGAAAGGTAATAAAATAAAACCTAAAATGGGAATCACAAATTTAATATTTTGTTATGCCTTGGGATGGAGACTAAAAAGGATTACTCTACTAAAATAACAACTTCAGGGGCTCCCGGCTGGCTTAGGCAGTAGGCATGCAACTCTTGATCCTGGGGTTTTAAGTTCGAGCCCCACACTGGGTATAGAGTTTACTTAAAAACAAAATATTAAATTTGTTTTTTAAAAAACCAGCTTCATGAGATTATAATAAATAAATTTTTAAAAACCAGCTTCATGAGATTATCATGAAGTATAGACAAAAAAATCCACTGTTTGAGGCATTATAATGCTGGACTCACTTGTAGGTCACTTTAATGAAAAAAATAACCATGGCTATCAGGAAAATTATTTTGAAAGCACAGCTGGAATCTGTTGCCCCACGTTAATATTTAGAGAATAATAAAGCATTTCGTATCCTATTCTCTCACTTACTAGGAAAATAAAAGAGAAAATTCAAAACACATCTGATATGTTAGTATTCATTCAATAATCATTTCTTAAATATCCACTAGGTGCCAGGCAATAGAGTGCCAGAAATACAAGATTAGCAAGAAAGACAAGTCCCTGACCTCAAGAAGCTTCCAGTTTAGGAGACAAGGACAACTAAAAACACATCAAAGAAAGACAAAGAAAGACAAAGAAACAGTGCACAGAACATAACTGCGTCTTCCATTGAAACATTACTTATAAAGTTACATGTAGAAGAATAAAACTTCATAATGAATGAAAAAAATTTTAAGTTTATGCATTCCAGTTATACATTCAAAAAAATTAAAAACATAAGTCCACATAAAATCTTGTATACAAATATTCATAGCACTGTCATTCATAACGTCCAAAAAATGAAAACCAAAACATCCATCACCTGATGAATGGATAAAAATGGTCTATCCCTACAAGGAATGTTACTTAGCCATAAAAAAATAATGAAATACCGATTCATGCTACATGGATAAAACTTGAAAACATGCTAAGTGAAGGAAGCCAGACACAAAAGGTCATATATATGATTCCATTTACACCAATGTCCAGAATAGGCAAATCCAAAGAAGAGAAAGAACAGTAATGGTTACTAGGGGCTGGGGAGAAGGAGTTTTGGAGTTAGGAGGGAAAGACTGACGGTTAAGGGAGTCAGGGTTTCTCTGAGTGAGAAAATATTCTAAAACTAACTGTGGTGACGGTTGCACAAGTTTGCAAATATACTAAAAACCACAGAATTATACACTTCCAAAGAGTGAGTTTTATGATCTGTAAATTATATCCCAATAAAAAATGAAAATTTTAAAGTGTAAAAGTTTATCACAGCATATGAAGCCAGCAGCATTCAAAATATAAATAAGACATCCTAACAACAACAAGAAAACACATAGCCAATATTTTTATAAAACTATTAATTTGTCTCTAAAGTTCAGTTAACAAAAAGGTTTCAGTTTTTAACATTAAGCCACTAAACAACAAAAGAATACTTACGACTTCTATTTCCAGTAAGTTATTCTTATTTTCAAGCGTTCTCACACGACTGGTAGCTTCATTCAGAGCACTATCTAAATGGCCACATCTAAAAACCATAAATTCAAACAAAAAAATTAAAAGATAAAATCCTTTCCCTTAAAAGCATGCTATAAATCTCATTCTCTAATACGTAAACAAATTCTCCAATGTTAGTGAACACTAAGGATGTCATTTTAATAAATACATCCCAATAAAATTGATGATACTGTTTTCCAGAGAAAATAACAATATGAAAATATCCCTAATAGTTAAGTAAAAAAAGCTAAAATATGAACAGACATCTGTACACCCATGTTCCCAACAGCAAAATTCACACAAGCCAAAAGATGGAAGCAACCCAAATGTCCAGAAGGATGAATGGATAAACAAAGTGTGGTTTATCCATCCAATGGAGTAGTATTCAGCCCTTTAAAAAGGATGAAATTCTAGGGGCGCTTGGGTGGCTCAGTTGGCAAAGCATCAGACCTTTGATTTCAGCTCAGGTCATGATTCAGGTTGGTGAGATCAAGCCCCTCAGGATGAAATTCTAACACCTGCTATAACACGGATGAACCTTGAGGGCACTATGCTAAGTGAAATAGGCCAGACACAAAAGGACAAGTATGATTCCACCTATACAAGGTTCCCAAGTTCATATGAGGTGTCAAATTCATAGAAAGTAGGATGCCGGGTGCCAAAGGCTGGAGAGTTGTTGCTTAACGGGGACAGGGGTCAGGTTTGCAAAATGAAAAAGTTCTTGGGTGTCTGCGTGGCTCAGTCAGTTAGGCGTCTGCCTTCGGCTCAGGTCATGATCCCAGGGTCCTGGGGTCGAGCCCCACATCGGGCTCCCTGCTCAGCGGGGAGCCTGCTTCTCCCTCTCCCTCTGCCTGCCGCTCCCCCTGCTTGTGCTCGTTCTCTCTCTCTGTCAAATAAATAAAATCTTTAAAAAAATTATATTTAAAAATACAGGATACAGAAGACTGCAAAGAGTGTATAAAATAGCTTGATCTTTGTTATAGAAAAAAACCTATATATACATCTGTGCATATGATTTCTAAGATATAAAACTTAAGTTTGGAATGTAAGCATAGAGGCTGGGTAGGGAGACCTTTCATATTACATCCCTCTGTACTTTACCAAATTAGCATGAATGTATTATTCTTATAATTAAAGACCTTCGTAAAGTCAATCATCACAGAACCTCAAAATCACAAAATACACATTAGGATTCTGTTATCATTTTTGACTTGGTGTTAATGAATTGTGAATAAAAGCTAGTATCTATTTGGCACTGATTATATGCCAAGTCTATGTTAAGCACTTTACATTCATCCTTACAATCCTATGAGTTAGGACTGCTATCATTATCATTTTACAGATGAGAAAACAGAGAAGCTGAATTCCTCCTGGGTTGTGAGCAATCACTGGAATTTGAAACCTGTCAGTGTGACTCCAGAGTTCACGCTCCTAACCACTGTGCATTAATGCCCTGCAGAAATCAAATACTGATGAAACTGCTCTTGAAAGAGGGCGCCTGAGTGGCTCAGTTGTTAAGCGTCTGCGTTCGGCTCAGGTCATGATCCCAGGGTCCTGGGATCGAGCCCCGCATCGGGCTCCCTGCTCAGCCAGAAGCCTGCTTCTCCCTCTCCTGCTCCCCCTGCTTGTGTGCCCTCTCTCGCTGTGTCTCTCTCTGTCAAATAAATAAATAAAATCTTAAAAAAAAAAAAAACTGTTCTTGAAAGAAAGAGCACTAAAGAGTCAAGTGTAGGTATGTTAACTATAATTTTCTATCTTCACCACCACACCGATTATGGTAGGAGACCATGTGACAGAACAATCTGAGACCACAGCTGGCCCACAATGAGTCAGTGGCCCCATCTGCAGTACCAGGGGGATGCTCCCACTTGCAATTTTAAGTTTGAAAAAACCTGATGTGTATGCTGACAACTTAAAATTGGCTTTGTCTTAGGTGAATCATTTCTCCAGTCCCGGGTGACGGCTCTCCGTACCCCGCCTTCCACGCCCCTCCTGCTGCTGTTGCCTTCGATCCTGCCTTGCAATTCGTCCCACCTACACCGCCTCACCGCTCTAGCAGCCTCCAGACAAAAAAAGTGCTTTCCTCAGCTATCCTGTCCTAGGCGCCTTCTCCGGCAGCCTATTGTTAACCTAAGGAGGCCTACTGGGGGGCTGCTTTCACACTTCCGTTTTCCACAGGAAGTACCTGTAGTCCTCTTTGCCGTCTTAAAAACAACAAAAAAAAAACAAGAACGGACTTCCCCTAGCCTGCCAGCTACTCTTTTCCTTTTATCCTAGAAAACCTAAACCTGGCTTCTTTCTGGCTTTTTTCAAACTACTGCTCTTTACCACTACCACCCAGGCCTACCCCCAGCAGCAAAAGCTGCGGTAACTCTCAGGAATAAGACAGCCTGTTAACTACCACAGCAACAGCAAGCTAGTATAAAGGCTAGTTTACCTAGAATTCTGCAAGTTAAACTATTAACTGGACCAGATGATTTCAGTTCCCTCCTAATCTTTTCTCAAGGGGCTTTGTCTTTGTCTGCCTTAGAGAACACTTCTTTGCTGCTATATCAACCTCAGCAGTTTTCAATCTAAGTCCCATTTAAATGTAAAATATGAAGCAAATATGCTGTCATTACAGTTGGAGCATCGAATTTTGTTAATGATTCTCCCTCTAAAACAGGTATTCGGCTATCCTTAACGTAATTGTCCCCTGTGTTTCCATGTTGGTTTCTTTTTTCAGCAGGATAACTGCTTCCACAGGTTCATGAATGTCTGGATTAAGTTATGTGAAATCTGGGTTTAAGAAAAGATTGAGGACTGCTCAAGGACGTTAGTCAGAGATTTCTTAGGAAATCTGTCCATAGTTCTAATCCACCCATAAATGACATTCCTTTAAATATACAAAATCTGCTCAACTATTTCAGTATTTTATCTGTATGAAACAAATGCCCTCATGTCAGCTACCAGTGTGCTATATAAGGTTGGTTCAAACCTATAAAAATAATTACTTAGGCAAATATATCTGTTAAGATTTTCAAATCTAAAACATGTTTTCAAACTCTTTTATCACAATATAGTATACTTGGAAAAAATAACATATCCAAGTTGGAGAAACACTAACTTCATAGTTGAATTATAAATTTTACCTGTCTACAAGAATTTGGTTGGTTTTCTTCCAATCTTCAACTGCAGAAATTTCCTTTGCCTCCAGTTTCTGTTTCAAACTATTTATTTCTGATTCATAATAAGCTCGAAGATCCGCTATGTGTCGAGCATGCTTTTCCTTCAGGTTCTGCCTAATTCTGTTGTTGAGGGCAAAAAAATGTTTTAGAAGAGCATTTACTCACTCTCTATCCCACAAGAGAAACCAAGAACACAATCTCTCGTAAGCAAAAGTACAGCCTTTTTCCTCTGCGCACCCACATAAAACATAATAGATTAATACACACGTTGACAACTAATTAAGCAAAAAAAGAAAGACATACATTAATTTTTAGATGTCCTACCTTAAAAATGCTGTATCTCTAAGATTTTATACATTAGGGAAGGTCAATAAAAATCATTTTCATCATTCAAGCAGACGTCATACAAAATCGATTAACATTACAAGCCAAGCACTGAATACATACTTGGACAGTATCACAGGATCTTCCAGGGAAGCCAAGGAAATGCATTCTGGGACACTGCTGACTGTCCCTGGAAGCTGGGACTGACTGACTGAGGCTGAGGTTACTACGGCAGTGTTTTCTTCATCTATAGTGTTCACCGAGATGTCATTACTAGTAATAGTATAAACTGAAGGAAACGTGGAACTGGTCCTACTTTCATTTTGGAATCCATGATTTTTCCAAGAGTCCACTGGTGAAGCTTTTGTATTTGAAGGATATTTTGGGAATCCAGATAACTGAGAAGCGATATTACTTGCTTGTGAAAATGAGTCTATGTCAGAGTGACTAGACATACTAGGTTCTAGAACAGAGTCTGGTGAAAAGGATATTCTGTCATCAAGGGCATTCAAAAAGCCTTGTGGTTGAATCCCTGAAATCTGATTTGGCTTCATGTGTAACGTTGGATCTAGAGTTAGTACCTAGAAATAAGACAGAAAACAGTAAGGTTTTGCCCTCAGTTTTGCCCTTTGTTTTTGAGTAGGCTTTAGATCTCCTAGGGAAAACTGTTTTTAAGTGAGTAGGCTTTAGGTCTCCTAGGGAAAATAAAGCTTAAGATGAAAGTTAAGAGCCATAAAGCATCTTTCATTTTCACTCAGCAGAGTGTTGACAATTTACCTCTGGTGGATGATTTGGGTTGGAAGCAGAAGTGAGATTCCTCTCAGGTAACTGCTTGTTTTCCCTTTGTTTTTTATGATAAATATCCTTCAGTGATGGTAGCTTCATCTCATTAATAGTATTAGACTTAAAGATATGAAACAAAATTTAAATGGTGTTATCAACGATGAAAAAAGTTTACTGATATCAAGATCAGCACCACAAAAAGATTTTTGAAAGATTTTAAATGAGACTCTAGACTTTCGGACTTATAAAACAAATTTAGAAGTCATTACCTGTTAATTATGAGTCTTCCTCAGAATGAAAAAAATTAATATCCCCTAACAATAAATATTAAGGTGATAATCTGAACCTAAGTTATTTAGTAGCCTAAGATTATGTCTAAAGAATAAAAAACTTTGGGGGCGCCTGGGTGGCTCAGTCGTTAAGCATCTGCCTTCGGCTCAGGTCATGATCCCAGGGTCCTGGGATCGAGCCCCACATCGGGCTCCCTGCTCTGTGGGAAGCCTGCTTCTCCCTCTCCCACTCCCCCTGCTTGTGTTCCCTCTCTCACTGTGTGTCTCTCTGTCAAATAAATAAATAAAATCTTTAAAAAAAAAAAAAAGAAGGGGCGCCTGGGTGGCTCAGTTGGTTAAGCGACTGCCTTCGGCTCAGGTCATGTTCCTGGAGTCCCGGGATCGAGTCCCGCATCGGGCTCCCTGCTCAGCAGGGAGTCTGCTTCTCTCTCTGACCCTCTCCCCTCTCGTGCTCTCGATCTCATTCTCTCTCTCAAATAAATAAATAAAATCTTTAAAAAAATAAAAAAATAAAAAACTTTGGTAGTGCCCCCTACTCAAGATAAAAATCAAGTTTTGAGATAAGAAAAGACTTCATCATGAATGACCAAAGCAGGATGAGAAGACTTCTGGCTAAATTAGTATCATGTGACTCAAGAGGACAGGTATAGGGGTATCTATATAGTTTTTTTTTTTTAAGATTATTTATTTATTTATTTGAGAGAGAGAGCATGAGAGGGAAGAGGGTCAGAGGGAGAAGCAGACTCCCTGCTAAGCAGGGAGCCCGATGTGGGACTCGATCCCAGGACTCCTGGATCATGACCTAAGCCAAAGGCAGTCGCTTAACCAACTGAGCCAGCCAGGCACCCTCCTATTTTTTTTTAAAGGTTTATTTATTTTAGAGGGAGGAGTGAGCACACGCATACAAGCAGGGGGAGGAGCAGAGGGGGAGAGAGAGAATCCTCAAACAGACTCCCCACTGAGCGAAGGACCCCCCCTGCCCCGCCCACCACATGGGGCTCAATCCCAGGACCCTGAGGTCATGACCTGAGCCGAAATCAAGAGTTGGACGCTCAACCAACTGAGCCACCCAGGCGCCCCCCCTTCCTATTTTTTTAAGAGTTGGCAGACAAAAAAAAAAAGGGTTAAGAAACGAGTTACCCTATGGAAATAAGCCCCTTTTAAAAACTCGTAAGAAGATATGACCCTAATTTCTACAGCTTGAAATCAGTGCTCTGCCACACTGGGAATGTTACGAAGAGGTCTAAGCTCCAAACATTAAAACCTCAGCCTTAAATTATTTCAAGGTGGGATGTATTATAAGGCATGACGGTGGACCATTTAACCCTGGACCTCAAATTTAAACTGTGGATGTTCTCTTAAATGAGATTATAGATTCAGCAAGAGATACACTGAAAGCATTGAAAGAACACATTCACATGTAGCTTTAAATTTGTGTCCAATTTCCAGACCCTACACAGACTGCAGAATACCCATGAATATTTTTTAAATAAACCCTATAACTAGCTTGTGAATAAGATGATTAAACTTTTTGTGTGTGCATGGCGGCACCAGGGTGGCTCAGTCCATTAAGCGTCTGACTTCAGCTCTGGTCATGATCTCAGGGTCCTGGAATGGAGCCCCACGTGGGGGGCTGGGGGGAGGTCCCCAGGGTCTCCGCTCAGTGGGGAGTCTGCCTGTCCCTCTGCCTCTGCCCCTCCCCCTGCTCATGCCTCTCAGACTCCCTCTCTCTCAAATAAAATCTTAAAAAAAACTTTTTGTGTGTGCATTAAAGGCATTAATTTGTTGAATGTACACCCTTAAAATTCATAATTTCTGTAATTCTACTGTGGAATTTTACTTTTTATATACCAACAACCTAAAGGCCCTTTCAAGACTTCCAGCCTGTAACAAGCAAGCACTCCGGATGTGGCCTTGAGCCTTGAGGAATCCCTGCCTGGTGGTTTGGGTGAGTAGTTGCAATTCCTCTATTTAGAGCTCACCGTAGTACAAGGAACCATTTTTCACATTTTCCACTTCTATGATTTCTTTTCATATTTTAACATCTCTGAAGTGAGGATGCCTCTTGTAATTAATGGCATCTTACGCTGCTTCCAGTCAAGTAGCAATTGTGACATAATTGTCATTACCTGCTCATGGGTAAATTGTCGAAGACATCAAAATTGGCCAAACAGGTGTCAACAGTCTGGAAGAAAATCCTAGAGACTACACCTGAACCCCTGACAACCAATATTTAAGGGACAGTGAATCCTATATGTTTAGCAATGTTCCCCCATCTGGGAGCCAAACACAGGCCAGTTCTACATAACCACTAAGCCAGGTAAAAACTCAGCACCAAGGCCTTTCCGCCTTTTTTAAAGAATGCCAAATCCTCAAAGCTCTTGATGGCTCAAGGAAAACAGTATGTGGAAAAACACAGAAACCAACACTGAGCTGAAAAGAGTGTAAGCCTCTGTAGGTGAAGAAGTTTTAATAAACTTATTTCACTTATATTGTCCTTTTAACGTGTGTGTAAGAGTTCTTTGATAAAAATCAATGTTTAATTAGTCTACAAGCTCTTTCAATAAGAATAAAATATAAATTCTACTGTATCAGTGCTCTCTTGGTCCTTTTTGGTGGGTTCGAATATGAAACAGGAAGTCTTAAAGGTGACAGTATCTTAGAATCACCAAAATACAGTATTCATTTACTGATGGTGCAGATAATGTCATACACACAGTGAGCCCTGTCATCACAAAGCCCACCAAGCCTTCCGGCGCCTCAGAGTATCATTCCTCAGTCTTCCTCTGTGTTTCTCTCTCTTTTTCACTCCTTTCCTGAAGGATGGGATGCTGGTTTCTGCCCCATTGTGGGAATCTGATGTGTATGCTGATGGGTATGCCCTCTGCCCCGCTGATGCCGGTCACTCAGGCTTACAGCTCTCCTGGTTACTTTCATTGTAATCTCTCCTTTTCCCCAAACTACTTTCTCACCACCTGACCAAAAGACTGAAGTGAGATATGTACATGGATGTACACAAGCTCGGTAGTTTTATTTCGTTGTTCTGAAGCAAAGAAAATATATACATTTCTTGCTCAAAGAAAATTACTACAAAATTTTGGTACAAATGGATTAGCAGGAAGGCATAATAGGATGGAGAATCAAAACCAGGTGTAGGAACAGCAGAAGTGGTTGTCTGCAGACCTACTATATTTACAACAGTAGGCACAAAATCATCTCATTTAAATTTACAACACATTAACTGGACATTTTTAATTCTACTCTTAAGTAACTTTCCTATGATCATATAAGGCAATGAATAAGAGACCCAATTTGAAAGCAGGTATAATTTAAAGCCCAGGCTTTCTTTAGTATATCAGAAATTGGAAAACACGAAATTCATAATGAAATGGCATACTTAACTACAATTGTATAATGCAAACACCCACACACAATGTGTTTTTAAATTACCTGGCTTGGGGACCTATCTGTGGAGGAGGCCGGTGCAAACGTCTTCTCTAGAGTCTCAGGCAAAGAGTGATACATGTCCTTCTCTTCCAGCTTCCAATAAGTCAGTCCTATTGCACACAAATACACAGAATAGAAGACTGAGGACAGAGAATAAAAATGCTTTCTAGGAAAACTTATTTCTACTTAAAGAAAATTAAATATGGGAAGTAACTAGTTTTAGGTCTATATGGGAAGTTGAATTTTGATGGCATAGTCTCTTAATTGCCTTACCATGTAAGAGTTCTAATTTAATGATCCAAATATTTAAAACTGAAATATATTATTAAAAGGCAAGATACGGGGCACCTGGCTGGCTCAGGTGATAAGAGTATATGACTTTTGATCTCAGGGTTGTGAGCTCAACCCCATGTTGGGCGTAGACTTTATTAAAAAAAAAATAAACTTAAGAAAAGTCAAGATAAACTAGTGCAATCTAAAATATATCTCTTAAAAGACAACAATTTTTTTATGAGCAGTACAGAAAAAGCAATATAAAGAATTCAATGGTTCAAATACATATTGAGTGTTTACTGTGCCAGGCTGGGGAGCAGGAAACGTGAGACGTGAACAGTAAACAAATCACAAGGTATACCTAGTAGGTTAGAAGGTGGTAAGCATCCTAATGGTTAAGATTTAAAAATCAGGTAAAACGGAATATGCAGTGTGTGTGGAGGGGTGCTCACTGCAACTTAAGGTTGGCTCACTGCAAGGTAACAAGATAGAGTAAAAGCATTTTAGCCATGTATGAGGGAGGTCCCCTATATAAGAGGTAGGGAGAACATTTCACATATAGGAAGCAGCAAAGCAGAAGCTCTAAAAGGAGAACGTATCGGGGCACCTGGGTGGCTCAGTCGTTAAGCGTCTGCCTTCGGCTCAGGTCATGACACCAGGGTCCTGGGATCGAGGCCGGCGTCGGGCTCCCCGCGGAGCAGGGAGCTTCTCCCTCTCCCACTCCCCCTGCTTGTGTTCCCTCTCTGCCTGTCTCTCTCTGTCAAATAAATAAAATCTTTAAAAAAAAGATTTTATTTACTTGACAGAGAGAGACACAGTGAGAGAGGGAACACAAGCAGGGGGAGTGGGAGAGGGAGAAGCAGGCTTCCTGCAGAGCAGGGAGCCCGACGCGGGGCTCGATCCCAGGACCCTGGGATCATGACCTGAGCCGAAGGCAGACGCTTAACGACTGAGCCACCCAGGCGCCCCATAAATAAAATCTTAAAAAAAAAAAAAAAGAACATATCTGGCACATTTAAGCAAACAGCCTCTCTGCGGAAGCAGAGAAAGGGAACAGCAGAAAATGAGGTCAAACAGAGCAAGACTAGATCTTGCTGGGCCTGTGGGTGCCTATAAAGACTCTGGCTGCTCTTCTGAGGGAAAGAGCACAGCAGGGTTTTGAGCAGAGGACTCACATGATCTGACCTAGCTTTAACAAGGATCCTAGAGGCTACTGTGTTGAGAACAGATGGAAGGGTGCCAGGGTGAGGGCAGAGAGGCTGGGCAGGAAGCTGCAGAACCCCAGGTGATAGGTGATGGGAGCTCTCTGAGGGTGAGAGCATGACGGTGGTTCAGTTCTGGCAATTTTCAGCCTGCAGTGCTAATTCATCCTGACAAACTGGATGTGGGGTTGTGTGGGTGAGGGGGGAGGGGTAGAATCAGTATGTTACATCATTGAAACTAAAATAAGCTTACCATGGAGAGTAAAGAATGGTTCACAAAGGGTTTGAATTTCTTAATTCATTCTGGAGCACCTGGAAAATGCTGAGATGACTTTGGCAACTGTTTGAAATAACTGTAAAAGTATTTTTCTATCTATCTTTACACAATGTGTAACACAAATTAATGCAAGTAAGGAAGTCAGACTTAGCAGAGGCACAACACACAACAGATTTACAGAAACCCCTCTACTACACTGTATAGAATTATCTTCCTATTAGAAATGCAGATAAGTTGTTATAAAAAAATAAGTATCATACCTGTTCCTGAATCAGACATCCAAGAATTCGGACTCTCATCTGGTTTATTGAGGTAAAAAGCATGAGGATGCTTAGCAGCAGTGAAATTAGACTACAAGGCAAGAGAGAAAACTATTAGTTAACAGCTGAAAATCATTAGGCACAAACTGCTGACCCAAGGAATGAGAGCCAGCTGTCAAACCCCGGTGTAGAGAAAGTCTCAGAGGGTTCACGAAGAAGTAAGAAAGCCTGGTTTTCCCCGTGATTACAAGAATGCAAAATGATAGGAATTAACCGTGGAGGATTTTCTTTTCCTGTGTGTTTACAAAAGTTTATTTTGGTTCTGCAGAACCAAAAGAACACTGGCACCTGGAGCTACTTAATGAGTTCAGAATGACAATGTATTTATAATTTGCCAGCTACATCCAAAAGAAATTCAAAGTGCCTGGAATTAAAGTCATTTAGTGTAAAAATTAATGTGAAAGCCCTAACAATTCATTTTTATTATTAAAAGTACAATAATTTGGGGGCGCCCGGGTGGCTCAGTCGTTAAGCATCTGCCTTCGGCTCAGGTCATGATCCCAGGGTCCTGGGATCGAGCCCCACATCGGGCTCCCTGGCACCTGGAGCTACTTAATGAGTTCAGAATGACAATGTATTTATAATTTGCCAGCTACATCCAAAAGAAATTCAAAGGCCTGGAATTAAAGTCATTTAGTGTAAAAATTAATGTGAAAGCCCTAACAATTCATTTTTATTATTAAAAGTACAATAATTTGGGGGCGCCTGGGTGGCTCAGTCGTTAAGCATCTGCCTTCGGCTCAGGTCATGATCCCAGGGTCCTGGGATCGAGCCCCACATCGGGCTCCCTGCTCAGCAGAAGCCTGCTTCTCCCTCTCCCACTCCCCCTGCTTGTGTTCCCTCTCTCACTGTGTCTCTCTCTGTCAAATAAATAAAATCTTTAAGAAAAAAAAAGTACAATAATTCAAACTCTGAAAATGGCATTCAGTAATCTATATGAACTTCAAGTAGTAAACTGTGTCTTTTTTTTTTTAAAGATTTTATTTATTTATTCATGAGCGACAGAGGGGGAGAGAGAGAGAGAGAGAAGCAGGCTCCCAAGGAGCAGGGAGCCCGATGCGGGACTCAATCCCAGGACCCTGGGATCATGACCTGAGCCGAAGGCAGACGCTTAACCATCTGAGCCACCCAGGCGCCCAGTAAACTGTGTCTTACAGATAGGCAACTGGTTACTAATCCCAGAAAAGGCTCAAAATGCTTGCTTATCGTCAATTCTAATAAAAATTCTGAGCTAACTACTCCTCACAGTATCTCTGGCGTTGTCACAAGAAATCTTTGTTTGCAAACAGAAATATTTTTATCAGAATTTTTCTTATCAGTTCCACCACCATCAAACTTTTAACTCCTGTTAAAAAGTATTTAAGTTGCATTTGCTTACAATCATCTGGGGACCCACAGCAAAAGTAAAAGGATACTGAGGTGACAGCACTCCACCTACCATGGAGGAGTTTTCATCTCAGCCTCCTAAGGCACCACTCAGTCCCTCGTTCATCAAATGAGAAATTCCTAGGTCATCTTTTGTCTCTTCTAAAATTCCTACCTTGACAGAAATTCAAATTTTTCTCAAGTCTCAGTACTGAACAGGACAGAAAAAGCTGACAGCAGAAGGCTAAGTGAAAAATACCGAGTAACATATTTTCTCCACTTCCCAGTCCGGCGGTGCCAACCTGAACGCACTCAGCCGACCCAGCGGTGGGCGGGGGCCTCCCCTTGCCCGGCTGCTGCCGCATTACTGAGCACACCAGGCCTCGCGTTTAATGAGAAAGAAAAGTATGGAGCAATGAGAAGTCCTTCCCAAGAAGTTGTCCCACACCTGGCACAGGGACCTTCACTGATGTCAGCAAGAGTCTCGTCACCCATCCGAGAAACCACTCCCGTGTCCTGCTTCCCCAGGAAATGGTAACGTCAAGTCTGTCCCCAACAAAGGACCAAGGAAAATCCTTATGCTAAACAAGAGCCATTTCAAGATGTGCTTCAAAATAGCCAACACCCCAAAGAAACTACCATTGTAGAAAGAGAAAATTGGATCCCAAGAGAATTCTGACCATAAGGATTCCCTGATTTAGACTGAAACTAGAAAAAACGGGAGAAGAGGAAGGATGAAATAGAGTCCCAACTTGGTGAATCCACAAAATTTGATTCAGGATTACACAGGTAAGAAATGTGTTTCAGGTGTGGGGACTTGGGTTCATCAACTACCATTATCCGAAAATCATTTAAAACTCAAATATCAAAGAAACTTTATTTCCCATAACGATTTACTACCAAAAATATCACTCACCTTTAAAAAAAAAAAAAAAGGAAAGGGGCGCCTGGGGGCACAGTCGGTTGAGCATCCTACTCTTGGTTTTGCCTGAGGTCATGATCTCAGGGTCCTGGGATCAAGTCCCACATCAGGCTCCAAGCTCAGAGCAGATTCTGCTTGAGATTCTCTCCCTCTCCCTCTGCCCCTCCCCCAGCGCTCTAGCGCCTGTGCACGCACTTGCTCTTTCTGGCTCTCTAAAATAATAAATGGAGGGGCGCCTGAGAGGCTCAGTCGTTAAGCGTCTGCCTTCGGCTCAGGTCATGATCCCAGGGTCTTGGGATCGAGCCCCACATCCGGCTCCCTGCTCCACGGGGAGCCTGCTTCTCCCTCTCCCTCTCCCCCTGCTTGTGTTCCCTCTCTCGCTGTGTCTCTCTCTGTCAGATAAAGAAAATCTTTAAAAAATAATAATAATAACAAATGGAGGGGTGCCTGGGTGACTCAGCAGGGAGTTTGCTTCTTCCCCTCCCCCTGCTGTCTCTCTCTCTCAAATAAAATCTTTAAAAAGAAAGACATTTTCTTTTTCTGCCAACCTAATCCAAAGAAAAAAGCAACTTTCACCCCCATCTCCAAATACCATTCAAGGATATAGCATCCTGATGGCACATGGGTTCAAAAGAACAGTACTGGGCGCCTGGGTGGCTCAGATGGTTGGGCGACTGCCTTCGGCTCAGGTCATGACCCTGGAGTCCCGGGATCGAGTCCCTCATCGGACACCCTGCTCAGTGGGGAGTCTGCTTCTCCCTCTGACCCTACCCCCTCTCCTGCACTCTCTCTCAAATAAATTAAAAAAAAAAAATCTAAAAAAAACCACAAAAGAACAGTACTATGAAAGCAATACTACAGGGTGCTTGCAGATCTTGGAGGCTTGACGGCCCCCCCAGCTTTCTGCACCCTCACTTCCCTTCTGAACACAAATCGGAATACGTTCAAGAACAGTAATATGAAGAAGGCTAAGTATCACAGGCTGAAAAATGAAAATTTACTGGAAGAAAAAAGAACAGTGCCTTAGGAAGGCTGAGGGATTGTGTTCTTATGACTTCTATTTAATTTTTTTCACAGGATGATGGAAAGACCATGTTTACGATGATCAAGAAGTGGCCAATTTCTAAAGGTATCAAGTTTGCAGAGACCGGATTTTGCAATTTCAATGAATTACACTAAACAATGTTACTCTACGAAAATTTAAGCCAAAAGGGCTTCAAAGATGTTTAAAATTTACTGAATATCTGTAACTCTAACAAAAACAGCTGCTAGATTAACAAAAGGGCCACAGAGAATTTAAACACGTAATCTCTCACAATTTGGATTATAAATTCAGAGTTGTCTTGAAGCATTCACACATATAGTACTACTTCTTACAACTTAACAGTAATACAAATTATTTGAGGGCTTAAAAAAAAGTTAAATGGATTATTCTCTGGCTCAATGTAAACAGTTGCAGTACAAAGAGAATTAGGACCTTTACAACATGGTTTTCACTTTTTATAGTACTTTATCCCTCATTAGTTTTGATTTGCAGACTACTAAAGAACCAATACTTAGAGCAAATCATTGTTTCCAATCCTCTGAGACTCCTAAAGGCTGATAGGTCAATGGAACAAATTAATACCACAAAAGAAAGGGCAGAAAACTTATGTTGATGAGCATGTAGTATAAACTCCACATAATTATCAGTAGCTGGGGCGCCTGGGTGGCTCAGTCGTTAAGCGTCCGCCTTCGGCCCAGGTCATGATCCCAGGGTCCTGGGATTGAGCCCCACGTCAGGCTTTCTGCTCAGCGGGAAGCCTGCTTCTCCCTCCCCCACTCCCCCTGCTTGTATTCCCTCTCTTGCTGTTTGTCTCACTGTCAAAATAAATAAATAAATAAAATCTTAAAAAAAAATTATCAGTAGCTGAGGCATGCCAGAGTAAAGCGACTTATCACCTACTTTCTCAACTGGTGACTTCTTGGCTTGCTCATTTCCTTGCATAGATTTTGAACACCCGTCTTCTGTAAGTGCTCTCTTTGGTTGGTTCTGCTTCAGCTTTTGTGCCCATGATGTTACAGATTTACTATTCAAAAAGAGAAAACCAAAATTATTCTCTTTAGATGCTGTTCTTCACACATAAAACTAAACACTAGTGGATACTAGTCAGTGGAAAATGCTTTGAGTTGTTTTTCTAATAGCAGAGAAAAGATGGATTTTTGATTCACCTAAATTTCTTTTTACAGTTTTTTATTACCAAAGGTAAAGTGAACAAAAAAACTAACGGTGATTAGTAATACATACAGCCGTAGCCACAGAGTAGAACAAAACTGATCATGGTGGCCCATTCAAGTACTCAATATATCCCTACAGCAAAGTCTTCTTTATTCGCGAGGACTAGTAATTATAGGTACACAAGATCTGTTGCTACAGCTGAACACTTATTTTAGAGGATACATTTTAGAGATATAAAACTGAACATTTAGGATAAATGACATAATTTTAAATGATTATTTGCTTTACAAATATCCAGCCACAGTTGTCATTAAACTTACAAAAGTTCCTCATATAGAAAAAGCATTAAATTGAATATACTCGCGTATGATGTTTGGTTTCAAATTATATGCACATATGTGACAAAACTCTACTGTTGATACAGTCCTATACTCGAATTTTCAGCAAGTTTATAGTGACCAGAAAATATAAAAGGTATTTTTCTGGCAAGGCCTCCCACCTTAGGTTAGTCTTACAACATTGCAAATGGGAAGAAAGTCACATGTTGGTAATATATCATACCCTTTATTTCCATTTGCCACAAGCAATAAATACAAGACTTTGGTAAAGCTGCTAAGTGCTCAAATACGTCTCATTTTATCATACTCAAAAATGAGCTTGCTTTACTAGATTCTAAATGTAATAAACAAGCAAACCTCCCTTCAAATTATGGGAGAAATTCTACTTACCTGTTTGTTTTTCCACTGTATACTTCTGAAATCTTATTTTCGCCAAGAAAATCGTGTTCAAATTCACCAGGAAAAATGGAAATACCTTCCTTTACAGATGCGCAAAACTCTTCAGTGGTATGTATATGAAAACTCTTGTTTTTTACACCATCTACAAGTGACTCCGTCTGCCCCAAAGGTGCTCCAAACTGTCCTTCAGAAACTTCTGGGTGCTCCATGAACTCCTGAGGGTCCTTAGATTTGTAGGCATTTAATTCAGAGACACAAAAGGTACCATACCCACTGCTCACTGAGCTACTATCCACATTGCAGTCTGGTTGTGACGTGGACGTTTCTTGCTGCATTTCGGGTTCTGTAGACTTAGGATAACTGATAATAGGTTCATTTCTCTCACTGTTTTCAGAAAAAAAACCCATTTGACTTTCTGAAGATAACTGTTTGCTTAAAGAACTATCGGAGGAAGCCCAGGAAGTATTACTGGTCTGTAACTTGACTAAATTTTTTATCTCCTCTTGTATTCGCTGAAAATAAAGTTATAGATCTGGGTAAGAAGGTATACTAAACATCATACTTTCATAAATACTATGAAAATATTGCTTTAAAATATGAGCTGTTACTCTAAAGAGAATCCGTTTTTAGTTCAAAAACCAAACTGATATGAAGCATTAACTGCTTCCTCTTGCAAATCTTAGCAATACAAAGAAAAGCATCAAGATAACTAACAACTTACTTGAATTTGGTTGTGGAACTGTTCCTGCTGGGCAACTATCTGTTGTTGGCATTGTTTTTCCACCAAATTGAATAGTTGTAACCACCTGGTCTATTAAATTATAAAATATTTTAGTTAAAAATAATTTCTCAAGTAATATTCACAGAAAAATTCCTCCCGTGGGAAAGGACCTTTTTAAAATATAGTTTTAATGTAAAATGAATAAGCTGAATTAAAGAGCTACAAAGCTATATTTAATGCAAAAATACAAAGCCACAGGCGTGGTCACCCCTTTCTCATGTAACCTGCAGTCTGGGTAAATTCGAAGGTCTGAGTAAATCCTGGTTTTCAAATAACATCTTAATTTGATGTCCTCTGCTATCATCAAGAATTGGCAGTTTACTTCATATTTGTCATAAATTTTTCTTCCTTTCCTTGTAACAGCTAATGATTTTCTTAAACAGTTCTTAGAAAAAAGAATCCCACGCCTTAAAACAAGAAATAATTTGGTATTGTGGGATTTAAACCCCTAATTTACTTGTTATTTAAGTTAAAAAAAAAAAAAGAACCTTTTTCAAATCAGATACTGAAGTGTTTGACAGCACTACAGCTGAGAGAGGAATGAAAGCCCACGGAACTGGCTTAGCCCTCCCTTCAGTCACTTTTAGGTCCTGATCCATCCTGACTCTTAAGAGGAGTCACTACTTTTTTTTTGAAGGCCATTAGCAGACAAAGGAGTCAGTACTCTTATAACCAGACTACAAAACATGGCAGGAAACGGGGCAGGGAGATGTCCAGAGGCTAAATTCAGTCTTAAGGCTGGTGTCCTTTCAGCAACAGACTCTATGCAATAATATACAATAAGCAGCTACCATGAAAAAGAGCTTCCCTTACAGACCATTCAATTATCTTTCCACTCCTGTATTCCTTACAGGGCCCTGAGTGATCTGGCCCATGCACAGCTCCCAACTTCATCTCATCCCTCTCTGCCCCTCACTCAGTGCACACCAGCCTCACTGGCCTCTCTCTTTTCCCTGAGCATGCCAAAACTGTCTTCCATCTCAAAAGCTTTGTCCTCACTGTACCCTCTACCTGGAAAGTTCTCTCTCCAACTCTTATCATGGCTTCTGTCCCTTCTTGCAATTTCAGCTTAACTTCTCAAAGTTTCCCAAACCATCCCACGTTTGGTTGCTCTCTCAACGTCATCCTGAGTATTGCCTTCATAGCCTTTACCACAATCAGAGAGCATCTCGTTTGTTCACTTTGTTAACCTGTCTCCAGCACCTGGGACACAGTGCCAAGAAAAGAGTGGGCACTCAGATATATAGTCTAAGTGGGTGTATAAAAATGTGAACTTCAGAGGTGCCTGGCTGGCTCAGTCAGTGGAACATGCAACTCTTGATCTTGAGCCCTGTGTTGGGGGTAGAGTTTACTTAAAAAAAAAAAAAAAAAAAGTGAATTTCAAGCTGATTTTTTTTCCAGAGGCCCTTCAGATTAAAGCCAGTTTAATAACCGTAACAGAGCAGAATTAAATTGAAAGCTATATAACAGTATTAAAGCAAAGGAAATAAAAACTCTCAGGATTGGAAAAGGAAACCTTCAAATTGAAACAGAACAGTACTGATAGGAACTATTAATTCTAAATCAACTAACTTCAGGATAAGGTAGGCTACATCAAATTCAGTTCCTTATCTTCTCAACTTATCTATAATATGAAGTATCTTAATCAAAACAAAAAAGAAATCAGGCAACAGTTTCCTTATTAAGTTATACTAACTTAAATACTTTAGGAGTTATTTTAACCTGATGAAGTTATTAGTCACACAGAACCAAATTACAACAATGACAGAATAACATACATGACAACACCAGAAAAACAAAAATGGGTTATTATGTGACACACTTAATGTTAATCATATCCTTATTAACATTTTCTTATTTAAGATATGAATAGAGCTTACTCAGGATATAAATTGGTAGAGATTTTGTTATGCCTAGTCAGATTCTGTATTTTAATTTTCAATAAAGATATTTAAGAATATTATAATGCAGCAAATTTTATTCACATAATTATTAAGAACTATAATTCACTTCTAACTAAAATTATTTATATTACCTGCATTTTACATACTTTTAGAGGACTTGGGCATCTAATTAAAGCTTTCCCCTGCAAACAGCTTTTGATGCTATTAGCCTGAAAGGGGTTTCTCTAGTCTGGCCTCGTAAATAACCCATTGGCTTTGACATCCTAGGCGTGATTCCCAGCTCCCCACTAACAACCTGTGTGGTGGTCCTCAACAAGTAAATTTCATTTGTGCTTATGAATTTATAAAATGGGAAGAGTAACACCTCATAGGTGGCTGGGAGGATTAAATTTTAAATTCAAATATGATGCATATGAAGCAGCGATCCCAATGGGGGGGAACTACATTTTGAAAAACTGAGGCCACGGCTGTCACAAAGACAGCGAGGGCACTACCAGCTCTCGGTGGGTCCAGGGAAACAAGTCAAAGGATGGTCCCCAACAAGGAAAAACTGTCCTGGGTCCATTTTATATTATTATAAAAATACCATATATTTTGCACAGCTTTCAAATCATCAAATTGTCCAGGAATCCAACTACAAAGATGTTAAATTTGTTTCAGAACTCGGTCAGAAATTGGTCACCATTTCAGAAAATCATGTCACCAAATGCAGTGCTAGATCATCAGTACAACCCAGTTGTATCAGTCCGTGTCTACAGCTGCTGCCTTTGCAGTGGGTCTACAAATCAACACCAGACTTTTCTTCTACTGTGGATGCGCCTGAGCAAATACCTGTTTTTGTATTATAAGTAACTTTTATTCCTCCTCTTTATCACAGTTAAGAGGATGATTGTTTTTACAGTAGGTACAGGCAAGATGTATCTGTGAATTTCATTTAAGTTGATGTTACTTAAAAATTGTAAAATATAACTATAAAATGTAAATTAGTAAATTAATTGTAAAATTATAAAATGAGAGCTTTAGGTCTAATAAGGTTGAGTGCCACTGACAAAAAGTGTCTAGTATACTGCTTAGACACTCAATAAGTGGTACACTTACAATAACCTCTATCACATAACAATTACTCTTACATAATCAGTAGTGCTAAATAGTTAAAATGCAAAAATAATGAATTAAGACAAATTAGCTAATAATGTGCTTTAAAAATTCACCATCACAGAAATATTAGCAACAGCAAGCATTTAAGTATTTCTATGTAAATGTGTTAAACTTTATTTTCCATGAATCAAAATACATAACCTTCTCAAGTTTAAGTGATGATAAACTTCAGAATTCCAGGAAAGAGGTTTTAGAAAGAAAGAAATCAGATCTCCAGAGCTCTGAGCTCCATGAAAGGTTTTACATTTTGCTTTAGTAACATAGATTAATCCCTTACAAATGGTAGAAATCAGACAAATGTTAGTATTCCAAAAAGAGATGAAAACATGAGATTCAGGGAAAAGAGTCAGGAATAAGACTCACACAATCCATACCCCTCCCATTCTTCCTAAAATGCTACACAGTAAAACAGAGGATTTTGTTTTTGTATGCTACAAAACATACTAATAAATGGGAGAGATTTTACTGAAATGACCAGAAGGATATTTCATATTCTGTCAAAGAAATATCTTAAGAAACTATTCACTGAACAATCAATTACATGTCTACATTACAAAAATTAAGTAGCCAATTAATATTAAACATAATGTTATATCACAGATGAGGAGAAAGGGTGTAAAGAAACTGGCTCAAATGTCAAGGTGTAAATAGCTGGTTGGTATGCTGGCTTATAAAAATCTGTATCTTAAATTCACAAATATATTCTGATTCCAAGATGCTGATTTCAAGTATTAAAAGTAACAATTTCTAGTTAAACATGAATTTGCCAGGAGAGCAATACCTTATTTTTTTTTAAAAGCATGCTAATTCAGGTTCATAAGCTAATGGATAAATATATTAAAGTAAACATTTCACAAAACATTCCATTTTTAATTGTCTCGTTTTACAGGTCTCTTGCATTAGCATATACTGATTATTATATGGAAAAAACACAAAAATTGTAAAAACTTAAAACTCAACTTTCTTGGGCACCTGGGCGGCTTAGTTGGTTAAGCATCTGCCTTTGTGTCAGGTCATGATCCTGGGATCCTGGGATCGAGTCCCATTATCAGGGCTCCCTGCTCAGTGGGGAGCCCGCTTCTCCCTCTCCCTCTGCCCCTCCCCCTGCTCATGCTCTCTCACAAATGAATAAAAAAAAAATCTTAAAAAAAATAAAAATAAATAAAAACCCAATTTTCTTAAAGTCTGCAATAACCGTCATTTTTGTAACTTCAATGATTATGGATAATGAATACAAAAAATTACTTAGGGGTGGCTGCTACTGAATCCTTAAAGCAGGTATTCTTTCATTCCACTTATACATTTTGAAAATAACACAAATAATGGTTTTAAAAGTATGATAAATATTTTTAAAAATTTAATAAAAAATACATTTACTAAAATCTACTGTTCCCTAAGGAATTTAATAATAATAATGTTTTATACATTTTTATAAGGTATTACCAAATCTAGCCTTGGGAAAATCTAACTTGGGCATTATTCTGTGAAACAAAATTTACATATATGTATTCTTTTAACTGCTAAATTTTATATCACAGTTTAACCTATGGACCAAAGAAACACAATTCTGAAAAATCAATATAATTCAATGTATCACAACTAAATGTGATAAGGCATTACAAACAGAAGTCTTAATTCATGAGTAGAGCAAAATATTTCAAAGAGGATTTAGGTTTTTCAAAATAACAATTGTTACTTAAAACATTAGAATTAGTAACAATATTAATAATTTTGGAATTCTCACTTCTCTGAACAAAGCTAATATTTTAGTTGACATTTAAATGTAAATTAGTGTCCAATCACTAATATTTGTTCAAACATACTCTTGATCATCTTTTCATCTTTTTCATTTGTTCAATGTTGTTCCCCAATTACTGTATTTGACCACTTTAGCAATAAGAATCATGCTCTTTAGGATATAAATTTCTAATAATTTAGAGTTTATTAGAGGCACATTTACAAATATATTTTTTAAAATTCCACAAATAAAACAAAACTAGATACCTCACAGTTTTTCCAAAGTTCCGAATCAGTCCTTCCACTGTTTTGTAGCTCTTGCATTAAAGAGGTTAGGACTTCAACTGTACCTTGAATTACAGATGGTCTGGTCTTCCCTGAGAAAGAGGATACCCCATTTGTACTAAGGTGGGGACTACTTCTGTTGAAACATAAATAATTCAAATGGTTTCCTTCATTCTACCAAAGTGTTGAATATTTCAGCAGTTCAAGTTTAGCAGAGCAGTACAAAACCACTGATATTTAATCCTTCTTAATGGTACCTCGTTTGTTGAAAATCTGATCACGTTTGTCCACAAAAGGAAAATAGCAGTAAAAAGACAGCACTTATTTTTTTAAAGAACCCAACAGAAAGACCTTCTCCAGAAGTTGGAGCACACTCCAAAGCACCAGCAGAAAATAAAAGCTTCTGATATACGATAAGAAAAAGGTCCAGCTTCTCCAATCTAAATCATTCCAGAGGATTATTTTGCTCTACTGTAAGAACAGTCCTTTTTTTGTAGTGGGGTTTCTTCCTCCACTGCCCAGAATTGCAGTCAAGTCTTGTTAATTGGATCCCCCTAATTTGGTGTGATAAGCTGATGCTTATCTTTACACTACCTTTGAATAAAAGTTGTGCCAAGCAAATTAGCAGCAAATATTCAGGACTTATTTAGACTATTCATTGTGTAAAATAGCACTGATTCTTTCCAGGAGGACTGCTTTCCCAAACTTGAGAGGAAGTTATTTCAGATTTGCTTTAGAAAAACACAAAGCCTAATTAAGGACAATAAACTCTGTTCAAATTCCAGTCTAAGAGGTCATTTTCATTTATTTATTGATACCCTACATTGTTTGACAAAGAGTTCATTAAAAAAAAAACAACACTGATGAAAATAACAGAAAAATGGTAACAAGTAGAATCAGAGAAAGATTAATAAAAACTCAAGGGAAAGAAGAACATACATGTTGTCCATAAGGGGTTACATAATTGTGTAATAAGTCTAAATTTGACTGATTTCACTGCCAGTCACAATGAAAAGGGAGACAAGTTCAGTTACATAATCTTCATTAGAAGGGCACATTTAGGGGGTGCAGGGCTGGCTCAGTCAGTGGAGCATGTGGCTCTTGATCTTGGGGTGGTGAGTTCGAGACCCACGTTGGGGGTAGAGATTGCATTTTAAAATTTAAATAAAATAAACAAATAAATAAATAAATAAATTTTTAAGTAAAATCTTAAAAAAATAAAAAGGGAGGGCACATTTAGGTTCCCCCAGGCAAATTGTGTTCTAAAAGGGACTTCTTCAAAGGGGCCACCAAGTGATACAAGAAACAAACTTTCAGTGCGTGGGTACAAATTACAAAGGCAGGCAGGCATCTCTCCTGGACCATTTCCCACACACATTCCCCCCTTTCACCTTGCTTTCTCATTTTATATGTTCTTGTAAGCTGCCTTAAATTCCTCCTGAGGAGGGCAGAGAATGAACAAACTTTTTAAAGAATTAATGAATTTATTTATTATACACAATCTCTTCACGATCTATTATTATACACAATTTTTTCAAGATCTACTGTGTTTAAAGACCTTTGACCCTTTACCAGTAGGACCCAGACTGCTGTATTTTTGCTTCCTTGTACCTGCTTGTTACAGCTGGTCTCTCTAACGGGCTTTGCCTCTTTGCTGTCTTTAAGCTATGAGAAATTTAGAAATCAAATAATCACGTTTGTCAGATTATATACAAAATGAGAGCAATCAGGCTCTGATTAAAAACAAACCAAAGGGGCGCTGGGTGGCTCAGTCATTAAGCATCTGCCTTCAGCTCAGGTCATGATCCCAGGGTCCTGGGATCGACCCCCGCATTGGGCTCCCTGCTCAGCGGGAAGCCTGCTTCTCCCTCTCCCACTCCCCCTGCTTGTGTTCCCTCTCTCGCTGTGTCTCTCTCTGTCAAATAAATAAATCTTTAAAATATATATATATTAAAAAACAAACAAACAATAAATAAAAACACCAGAGAGTTTAAAAAGAAAATGCATAAAATGCATTGTTGGAGAATATCTATTTTTGTCCACTCAGGGTCTGTTTTTTTGCTTACTTCCTAGTATTCAACTTTAATTCCTACTTCCCAGATTGCTGAGGTAGTTCTGAAATATTAAACATTATTTGTACTGTTCATTTAAAAATGTAGAAACAATATTTAGGCAACTAAATTTTAAAGACATGCTTGTAATCTACCAGAAATTTTAAAAAGTGTAAAGAGGGAGTGCCTGGATGGCTCAGTCAGTTAAGCGTCTACCTTCGGCTCAGGTCATGACCCCAGGGTCCTGGGATTGAGTCCTGCCTGCATGGGGTTCCCTGCTCAGCTGGGAGTCGGCTTCTCCCTCTCCCTCTGCCCATTCCCCCTGCTCATACTTGCTCTCTCTCTCAAATAAAAAAACAAAATCTTTTTTAAAAAATGATGCTTTGGGGAACCTGGGTGGCTCAGTCAGTTAAGCGTCTGCCTTCAGCTGAGATCATGATCTCAGGGTCCTGGGATAGAGCCCCACATCAGGCTCCCTGCCAGGGAGCCTGCTTCTCCCTCTCCCCCTGCTTGCACTCTCTGTCTCTCTCTCTCTCTCTCTCGAATAAATAAATAAAATTTTAAAAAAAGTTATTTTTCACAATGTTCCCCAGGCAAAAGTACATCATCTGTGGGAGAAATGAAAAACAGGGAAAGGCTGAAACTATTTTCTTTTTTTTTTTTTAAAGATTTTATTTATTTATTCGAGAGAGAGAGCATGTGCGAGAGAAAGCACAAGTGGGAAGCGGGGAGGAGAAGCAGGCTCCCCACTGAGCAGGGAGCCCGATGCGGGGCTCGATCCCAGGACCCCAGGATCATGACCTGAGCCGAAGACAGACACTTAACCTACTGAGCCACCCAGGTGCCTCCCCCCTGAAACAATTCTTAACTAGTCCCAGAACAGCTCCTGTTTGAGGGTTGTCATTGTTCTTTAAATAGAACAAATAATCACGACACTACTTGGATAAACTACACAAGTAAGCTTATTTTGATTTGTTGTTACATTAAAAAAAAAATCTATCTATCCCATTCTTACCTATTAGTATTTAAGTTCAGTCCAAAAGAATGGGGAGAATTTTTTATATCAGATTCTACAGAAGATGAAGATTTTCGTAAGGGTTTCACCAAATCAATATCTTCCATAGTGTACAGAAATTGTTATACTCTCTTATTTGAAAATGTAGGTTCTTTCAATGTTTGAAGAAACTGAATCCGAGTCATCTTCAGATGCTTCATCGTCTACAGGCATTTTCAGATGCTAACATTCAGAACTGTGAAATATCCTAAGCTCCCAAGAGAGTCTGAAAATGAATGGAGGAAAAAATACTATAAAAAGCCACTAAACCTAGCAACTGTCTTCACTACTTTGGAAACCTTGATCCTTTTAAACAAATCTACATGAAGAACAGCAACATTATTTACAATAGTCCAAATGCAGAAACAATCCATGTGTCCATCAACTGATGAATAAATGTGAAATATACATATAATGGAGTATTTCTCAGCCATAAAAAGGTACAAAATACTGATACATACTACAATGTGGATAAACACTGAATTATTATGTTTAAGTAAAAGCTCAGCAAAAGATCACCTAGTGTATGATTCCATATATGTGAAAAATCTAGAAGAGCAAATCTCTTGAGACAGAAAGTAGATTTATGGTTGCCAGAAGTTGGGGGAAGGAGACAATGGCAGTGACCAAAAAGGGGTATGGAGTGTCTTTTTGGGGTTAATTGTTGAATTACAAAGTGGTGATGGCTGCACAACCCATCTGTGAATATACTAAAAACCTATGAATTGTACGCTTTAAAAGGATGCATTTTATGTTATGTGAATTTTATCTCAAAAAATCTACAATAAGAGTGATTTGCAAAAGTAGCATCATCTTTTCCAGGTAGTATTTCAGAATTTTATGTGTTTAATTATTAGGATTCTAGACACAATTCTACTATGTAACAATTGGAATACTGAGATGCTTTGTTCATTTGTTTAATAAGTTCTACCAAGGCTCCATACTTGTTGATTTATACTTCGAATAGATAAATTGGAACTACTTAGTATTTAATTTGGTATTAAACACAGCAAATTAAATGGTTGTTTTCTCCATTGGCTGGAAGGTAGGGTGGAAGAAATGCATTTTGCACTACCATAGCCTTTACTACTCTATGCATATATGACTTGTTTAAAAACAAACTATTTGCCAGGTCAACTAAAAATAACTGCTTAATTGATGCAGGTTAACTGATGCTAGGTGTACAGAGACAAATTGGCTATAACAAATCAAACTCCATGCTTCCTTCTTAGGGAATTCATGTATTTTTTTTTTTTTTTAAGTGAAGGAGCAAGAGAAGAAGAAAATTAAAAAAAAAATCTATGCTGTTTACAAGATACAAACTTTAGGGAGTGCGAAGAGAGGAAAATGATCTATTCTGATTCCACTAGGTTCCCACTTCCTAGGCCTGGTTTAGAAAGCACAGCCTTAAAAAACAGCAGCTCTTAAAGGAACCATTTCCTTCAGGGGGAAAGGTTTTGCCAAAGCCAAGGGTAACAGGACCTACCTAAATGGATTTCTCCCCAAGGGCTCAGCCCATCGCCAACCACAAATGGGGTATTGAAAAAGTCTGGGGCTGCACCTTCCAACTGGCAACGAAAATAGCTGGATTCAAATCACCCTGCTCTTCTACGGGGAAACACAAACTCTCCAGGGACGTGGATCTGCAATCCCATCTATTATTCCCCCCCACACACCCGCCGAGGTAATCCGGATGCAGAAGATGCAGATGGAAAAACCACTTGAGAAGCAAAGATGCTTCTCCAGTGGAGGGGTGGGGGGTAAGGGGAGGGAATAAAGGAAGGGGGCAGAAACCCCCGACCTAAATGCAAAATTAAAAAAAAAAATACACACATACACACACAATATAAAACAAAACTCGATGGACAATGGATATAAGCACAGAGCCATTTTTACATTTCCCGGTAACGAAATGTCACGCTCTTTGTCCCCACGACACCTAGTAAAAAAGAAAAAGGGGGGGGGAAAGGCGCGCGAAGGGGGAAAAAAAAAAAAAAGACCAGATCGGGGTCTGCTGATACTATAAAAGTTAACCCGGCGCTGCGCTTTGCCGGGAGCCCGAGGGCGTAAGGAAGAGAGGACTGCAGAGGTTTTGAGGCCAGATCCCGACATCCTCGCCCTCACAGCCAGACCTCAATTGCTGGTGGTGGCTCTCGGGTCAAAGGCGAGGGAAAACCACCGAATGCAGCCGCCTAAACTGGAGGCAGCAAAGAGGCGAAAGAAAAAGCCGCCGTTCCAACAACTACAATCGTGATTCCCAAAGTAAACCAAGGAAGACCGTCAAAAAAAAAAAAAAAAAGAGAAGAAGAAAAATCCCACAAGCCCCCCGCCCCTGGGGAAGAGGCGCTCTGCGATTGGGCCCCCCGGGTGTCACTCAAGGGCACTGAGTCTAGAAAAGGCACACGGCCACGAGCAAAGCCCCCACACACCGGAGGGATGCGGTGGGGGGCCCCTGCGTCGTCTGGTCGTCGTCCTCCCCGCCCTGAATCCATCAGCACCCTTGGGGTTCTGCTAAGGCCGTGTCTTCCAAGCCTCGTCCCCCTGCCCCCCCGTGGCCGACGGCTCCCCGCAGGCCGGCGACCGCTTACCTGGCCGCTGCTCCCACAGTCGATGTCAGGGTCGGGCGAGCGGCCTCTCGCGACCGTTAAACTCGAGGGAGCGTGCGCGCGCCCGGTACCTTGCCTGCGATTGGCTGTTTGAAAGGGGGCGGAGACGGCCGAACCGCGACACGCGCGTCGGCCGCCCCTTTCCCTTCCCGCCCCTCGCGCAAAAGAGGGAGGTCCGACGCCTGGGAAATGGAGGGAGGCGGGGCTGATGTCACGTTCTCTGGTCTGATTGGTTCTCTGGGAGTCGGCAGACGGCACGCGAAAAGAAGCCTCCACTTACCGCATGCGCAGTTGGTAAGAATGAGCCTGGGGCAAGTGAGGGAAGCGGTGGCGGGAGTACTGCGCGTGCGCAGACCCAGGAGCGCATTTGCGATCCACCTTCTGCAGTGGTTCGGGTTACTCCAGAACGTTGCGGGTGCGAGGTCAGCGTTGAGGCCAGGTAAGCGTCCGTGGAGAATCCGGTCACCCGCGGTTGTCATGGTTGTCATGTTCCATGTCAAGGACTATGGAAAGAGGATTGGGAGCTGGGACGCCTGACTTTCCCAGCTTGCGACCCTGAGTCGCGCAGCCAATTGACCTGAAGCCCCGCTGGCCCAGACCCCGAGCTAAGTTTTCTCTGCACCTGGTTTACCCTAGGGGTAAACTTGCTGGGGGTCGGCCCAGGGGGGTTCTTCAAGGACCTGGATGGGGAGGGGAGCACAGCCCAGCGGCTTGGAGAAAACAGTTGCACCAAGGCCCAAGAAGAAATGGAACATCTTCATTTACTTTGTTCTACGGAGCTCTTAGCACGCCGCAGGTCCTGTTTTAGGCCGGCACATAGTAGGTGTCAGCCAGCATTGCTCTTGCCAGGCCTTTGGAAGGACCACAGAGAATACGTGTCCCTCCCTGTGAGCCCCAGGCCATTTCATTCTCTCTGTTCAGTTCACATTTGTTTTAAAAGATTTTATTTATTTATTTGACAGAGAGATAGAGAGAGCAGGAACACAAGCAGGGGGAGTGGGAGAGGGAGAAGCAGGCTTCCTGCTGAGCAGGGAGCCCGATGTGGGACTCGATCCCAGGACCCTGGGATCATGACCTGAGCTGAAGGCAGACGCTTAACGGCTGAGCCACCCAGGCGCCCTCAGTTCATTCTTAAGACTAGTTGACCTTTAAAGCCAGCTCTTAGATTGCCCTCCAAGGGTCCTGGGCCCAAAATAAAGGAATTTCGCTGGCCCCATCATGTAGATGTGGCTGAGAAGCCAGGACACACGCGATGTATTGGCAGGAATGACAGATCTGCGAGGCATTCCGTCTGATCTGAGCCTAACAGTCATGTCTCAAACAGTAAAAATTTAGTCTGTATCCAAAACCCCATCTATGTATGGAAGATCTCAAGCTTAAATAAATTTAATCCACACCCCACCCCATTGTGTGAGTCCCATCAGGCAATAGTATGCTCTTGTAATACCTAACCAAAATCAAACTAATTTTAAGCACATGGCTCTGATTTCACTGACCATGTTTCAAGCCCAACAACAACAACAACAAAAAAGTTTTATCACTAATTTCAGTTGGTCACAAAATCCATTATTTGAGACATCCTTTACACTTAGAAGAACTGAGAAGTGTGAATTACTGAGACATCTCCAGGCAGACAGAGTTGGGTTTCCTTACAAGAAAAATAAATAACCCCTAAATCGAGTACTAGTGATTATTTCTCAACCATGTAAGGGGCAGGAGATGTTCACTTTTGGCTACAAAATCAGATGGGTTCTGTTCAGTTTGAACATGTAGATTTTTGGTTTTTTGTTTTTAGGTGTGCGGTTTTAGGTAACTTTTTATCTGTTAATGTCTTAATAAGCCAACGTATTCAGGAGTGCTATTCTGGTTAACCAAGTTATCTTGTTAATGAACTGATGTGGTGAAATATTTTGGTAAGGTTGCTCACACCATATTTCTTAGGTTAGGCTCTTTGGAAGGGTCATAATTGAAAAAAAAAAATCAATGGAAATTGCCTTTGACTCTTTGGACTAAAGAGAAAAAAAGTATCTTTTTTTTTTTAAAGATTTTATTTATTTATTTATTTATTTAATTGACAGAGAGACAGTGAGAGAGGGAACACAAGCAGGGGGAGTGGGAGAGGGAGAAGCAGGCCTCCCACCAAGCAGGGAGCCCAACGTGGGGCTCGATCCCAGGACCCCGGGATCACGACCTGAGCCGAAGGCAGACGCTTAACGACTGAGCCACCCAGGTGCCCCCATAGACATTATTTCTGAGTACAGCAAACAGCAGAAGTAGGAGGCTTCATAAGTTCCAGTAAATGTGTTAAGTACAATCGCTATTCATCTAATCAAAACCTACCTTCCATCCTGGAGATTTTGCACTACTTGTATGCAAACTGACACCGCTATTTTTATGGCCTTTATGATGGTATGATTACTATGATTTTCTTTATTATAACATCAAATTGCCTAAGTATCTCTTTGACCTTGAAGGCTTCGAACTGACTTTTGAGTGGAGATCTTTCACATTGATGGGGATAAGACCATGCTGGGCAGTGATAATGGCTAATAATGGCTTGCGGCATTTGGTGTCTCTCAACCCCAGCATTGCTACTCTTGATTGTTATGTCCAAACTGTTTATCATTTGGGGGGACCAGTTCTCCACAGCGGGGGGAGGGGGATAAAGAGGAACTCTAAAACTTTAAATACATGGTTTAATCATTAAACGTGAAATCATCAGACATATATTAAAATATAAATTTTGTCTTCTTCCTTGTCCTAAATGATTTTTCTTACTCTATCAGATAATCCCTAAAGATCTCCATGTTTAAACCAGGACTTGCTTGGATGAAGGGGGTGTTTATCTTTCATTGTGAGCCTGCTAGAAAGTCAGACTGTATTCTTGGCATCATAATTATCTCCTTGGCATCTGATTTCATAGAACACAATTATGACCTCACCAAATAGCATGTCTTTGGTAATTTCATGGTTTTCAAGTACTTCTTAAATTGGATCATACCAAATGAAATAATTTGCAGGTCACTCTTCTAGATGCCTTTTCACTCTGCGCTCTAAAACAAGTCTACGAAGGGGCACCTGGCTTGCTCAGTCGGAAGAACATGTGACTCTTGATGTCCAGGTCATAAGTTTGAGCCCCACATTGGATAGAGATTACTTAAATAATTCATTTATTTTTTTTTTTTAAGATTTTATTTACGGATTTGAGAGAGAGAGAGAGAGAGAGAGAGCAAGCACAAACAGAGGGAACAGCAGAGGGAGAGAGAAGCAGACTCCCCGCCGAACAGGGAGCCCAATGTGGGGCTCGATCCCAGAACCCTGGGATCCTGACCTGAGCCGAAGGCAAATGCTTACCCAGCTGAGCCACCCAGGCGCCCCTTACAGGCTTTAAAAAAAAAAAAAAAACAAACTGGGGCACCAGGGTGACTCAGTCGGTTAAGCATCTGCCTTCGGCTCAGGTCATGATCTCGCGAGGGTCCTCGGATTGAGCCCCACATTGCAAGTCTGCTTCTCCCTCTCCATGATTTCTCTCACTTTCGCTCTCTCGCAAATAAATAAAATCTTTATAAATATATATCAAAAAAAATAAAAAGCCTATGAAATAATCAGTTTCAGATTAGGTTTATGGGATAAGACCACAATTTATATGGTGTGTTAGTCAAAGGCTCTTCAGCTTTATAGTTTAGGGATCCCAAGTATCCCTCAGGGCTTTAGGTTTGTGGAGACATGTACGTTTTTTTCTTAGCCTAGGTGGTATTACCTCCACTTTACAGATGAGACGCGGCCAGAATTGCACAGTGAGTAAATCATGAAGCCAAGATACTGACTACAGAGCAGTGTGGCCTTTCAGGGACAAAAAAAAATGAGAAGAACATTCCAAAAGAGAAAGTTGAGGAAAATGAGCTAACACTTTTAAGAAGGTGGGGTAAGGACAGATCTAGAGCCATTATGAAAGGTAAAGGTAGAAAGGATAAGTTTAATAGAAAAAATGGAATACCTAATGTTTTTCCAAGTCTTCCTGAGATAATCCCTTTTCTTTATTTGTGTCAAATACAATAATGTATTTGAAAGTGCTTTGAAAGCATTTAGGTCCTAAACAAATAGAAGGTATCATTCATGATAATAGAGGCATTGAGAAGTTAAGGACATGTAGAGTGTTATTACTGCTGCTTTTTTTATGTGTTTCTGTCTTACTTTAACAGTGTAGTTGATAAATTCTAAAGTTCCTGTTAGAATGCCATAAATAGAAGAAAATCACAGTGATGCACACAAATAGGACAGGTGTAATTCTCTGTGGATTCAGAGTTTTCTGTATATATATATAAAAAAGCAACACTGAATGGGGTGTTAGTGTTGTATGAATAGAAAGCTTTTCTCTCTATCTACTTCATTAGTTGTCTCTTGAACTCTGCAGCAGGGAGCCTATTAAATTGAGACCAGACCCAGAGCAGTCTCCAGTGTGGCATTTGCTGCTCAATCTATGATGTTTGTCTGATTTGAGAAATAATTCTCTGCCAACACTTTCTGTGACTGAAAGGTCCTTTATCTTCAGAACGAACCGCCAAGCCCAGGAAAGGACTTGGTCTGTTTCAGACCTGAGCCGCAGCCCCTGGAGGTTCTGTTCTGGGAGGTGATCCAGCCCTCGAAAGGACTCCAGACCAACCAGAACAGGAGGATGAGCTAGACCAAGCAGGCGGGAAACGGCTGCTTTGTCTTAACTCCCATTGTGCAGGGAGCAAGCACCAAAACGTACTATGAAACATGGACTATTGGGGGCGCCTGGGTGGCTCATTCGGTGAAGTGTCTGCCTTCGGCTCAGGTCATGATCCGGGGTCCCAGGATGGAGCCCCGCATCAGGCTCCCTCTCTCTCTGCTGCACCCCCTGCGTGTGCACGCTCTCTCTAATAAATAAATAAAATCTTTAAAAAAAATAAAATAACATGTTTATTTAAAAAAAATTAAAAACATGGATTATGCCTAAGCATTTCTCAGAAAATCATTCTGTCACTTAGCTTCTGGTGCCATCAGCTGGCC